TGTTGCAGAGCACGGGCTCTAGGCACGCAGGCTTCAGTAGTTGTGGCACACAGGCTCAGTAGTTGTGGCACACGGGCTTAGTTGCTCCGCGGCATGTGGGATCTTCCCTGACCAGGGCTTGAACCCATGTCCCCTGCATTGGCAGGCATATTCTTAACCACTGCGCCACCAGGGAAGCCTATCCCAGTTAATTTAAATTCCAGTGTCCCATAAAAATTGCCATAAATAGATTTATTGTTATTTTAAAGTATGTCCCCTCGGGATCCAGATAAGGTCTGCAAACTGCAATTGGTTATATATTTTAAGTCTCCTTTAATCAGTAGATTCCCTCTCCATTATTTTGTGTGTGATTCATTTTTACTGAATAAATCAAGTTGTTTGTCCTTAAGATTCCCTCATTGGTTTATTGATTATAACCCCTAAGATATAGTTTGACTTGTTTCCCCTATTCTCTATATTTCCTATAAATTGGTAATTGGATGTAAAGGCTCTATGAGATTCAAGGGGTTTTTGGTGGGGGTGTTGGTGTTTGGTTTTTTGGGTGGTTGGGGATATGGCAGGACTTTTTCCTAGCTGGCATTGTGTTGGGTCATATCATTTTCAGTGCAGTCTTTTTTTTTTTTAACTATTTATTTATTTTTGGCTGCACTGGGTCTTCGTTGCTGAACGTGGGCTTTCTCTAGATGCGGTGAGTGGGGGCTACTCTTCGTTGCAGTGCGCAGGCTTCTCATTGCAGTGGATTCTCTTGTTGCAGAGCACAGGCTGTAGGCATGCAGGCTTCAGTAGTTGTGAAATGTGGGCTCAGTAGCTGTGGCACACGGGCTTAGTTGCTCCGCGGCGTGTGGGATCTTCCTGGGCCAGGGCTCGAACCTGTGTTCCCTGCACTGGCAGGGATTCTTAACCACTTTGCCACCAGGGAAGTCCCCAGTGCAGTCTTTTAAAAATATCTTTTCCAGGAATTCCCTGGTGGTCAACTGGTTAGGACTCTGTGCTTTTGAGGGCCTGGGTTCAATCCCTGGTCAGGGAACTCCTGCAAGCCATGCAGCACAGCCAAAAATAAAACCATATATATATATACACACACACACACACACACACACACATATTTATATATACACATATATATGTATCGTTTCCTTTTTCTCTTGTTTCATCCTCTCTTTGTTTCACCTACACCACCCATCTACAAGTGACCCATATTAACAACCCAGGGCATATCCCTCCATATTTTCTCCCTGTTCACTTAAATATCTTTACACATGTGCACATAGAGATTCCCTGTCTACTTTACAAAAGTGAGGTCATGGAAAGCCTTCCAAGCCAAGTGGTAGAGCTGTAATTTGTTCTATTTAATGGCTTCAAACTAATATTCCACGTACACATCTACCAAGATTTACTCAGCCATCCCCCTTTTGGTGGCAATCACTTTGCTCTTTGGCAATCCTGGATCTTGTTGCCACCTCTTGTTCATATGTACATGTATACTGGCTTTGTTTTTATAAAATGGATTCCCAGCAGTGGGATTGCTGGGTCAAAAAGTAATATGTATTTTTTATTTTAATAGATGTTTCCAGATAGCTTTCAAAAAAGGCCGTAGCGGTTCACATATCCACCAGCCAAGGATGAGATCACCCTTTCTCTGACAATATAAAACAGTCTCAAGGAGCAAAAATAGTCACAGATGAGAGTCACATGTTGGGAGCCAGCAAGGGGCAGCGGTCATTCAAGGAGAGGAAAAAGCTCTGTGGGCTTCCTTCATCAACAATTAATGAGCCAATAGTGAGTGATTCCTCAATAGGAAAGGCCCTACTTATTTATCCTTGCATCTCATGAGCCTAACACAGGGTGGCATAGAACAAACAGTTCAGAAGACCTTAAAACAGGGTCTGAAGACAGTTATCTCTAACTACCAAATGTTGTTTTTAGCTCCTCTCCATTTCCTGGATCCCAGTGAGTTCTTTCCTACTGGATGGCACTTGTATATCATCAAGCATCTGCTCATAATTTCCTTTGATTCTTTATCATCTCAGTTAAGATTCTGGGAAAAGGAAGTTGTCTTGGAAAGGAAGAAACCAGTAAACTTAGCAAGAGGATCATTCTTAAGCCAGGGGATAAAAAAACGTTTAATGCTCTACGTGTGTTGGTCACACCAGAAGGAGTAACCACCTCCCTCCCTCTGTGAGAGTCGCATTTTTCTTACTAAACCTCCACCCTTATTTCTCGCAAGTCTCCCTGTTGCTGAGAATCCCCAGTGTTTCTGATCTTTTCCCTCCATTCTCACCCATCTTCTCTTGCTCCATGTGCCTTGACGGGACAATGCTCACCAATATGATACTCCTCACCCCAACTTTCAAACCAAGACCTCTTGTTTGAGTAAGTTAAAACGATGTGTATTCTGCAAATGAGAAGACTCTTTCTTCAAATAACCTACCAAATGTTCCCATGACTCAGTCCCTTATTATTATACCTAAATATCTTACAGTGTAGGGGAACAAAAGATTAGCCCAGCTTCATCTTACAGTTGGGACAGTCAGGAAATGCCAAATGAATAACAAAGCTCCTGGTTTTGACCAAGCCTAGCTACGCATTTATGAAAAGCATTTGCAATTCAGCTCCTCGCATGTCAGAGGCATTGTTGGTGTAGTCAGGGGAACCTTTATAGTAGAAGTAAGGGAGCTGCCTGTTGACAAAGGAAGGAGGTAGAAATTACAGCCTGTACTGTTTTTACCAGGAAGCCATAAATCCAATTCATTATTGGTTATTCAGAGAAACGCACTCCACTGAGAGCGACCTTGGAGAGAGGACTATATTATTATGCCAGGAAGGAGGAAGTCAACACGCAAACTCCATAAACAGTCTTTTCTCTCTGGCAACCCTTACAAGAGTGACACCAGCCATACTCCAGGAATTGGATCCCCTACAGCCTGCAGTGCTGGGGTACATGCTTTTTTCCATTTGACTCCCATTTTAAGAATACCTGTGGCTTGGACCACCCCAGCAGAGTGCCGTGACAAGGAACTTGATGTATGTCCTCTGAGACAGTGTTGGATCCGGATATTCTCCTTGTGCTTTGGTGTCTGGAAAACAGTGGAGGAGGCATCCTTGGGCAGAAATCAGAGGGAAATATGGGGGACATACACACTTAGAAGAAAAAGGAGAGTCATATGTTTAGTGTTTTTTCTATGGCAGTATCTAGACTTACCCCTGTATAATTACAGCCCAAGTATCAACATCGAAATTTACATTTGAGTGAAATTCACAATACAATCTCTGTTTTAAAAAGGAACTAGGAAGAAAATGGAATGGCAGTTTCATTCTGGATTTTTTACATCACCTTTGATGACCAGAAGTCTAATGTAGGGAGAGTTCTGAACAAAAAAACACTTTCATATGTTGCCTTATTAAGGAATGGAAATGAAAGAAAGCTTAGCACTTAAGAAGTGAATTTGAATGCAGATATGTTAACAGTCCAGATAAGGTGCTGCTGACAAATGATTTCATTAACTGAACACGTAGATGGGATCATTTGGCAAAGGAAGCAAGTGTTCCAACCCTGGTGCCAGGGCTACTGAAGCTGAACTCCTAAATTGGGTCTACTGGAATTGAGGGATCCAGACACATGGCAAGAATTCTGGTTCTCAACATGCAGATCAGTCAAAACATCTGATTTTTTTTTTTAAGTCTATTTGGGAAAATTTTAAAACAGGGCACCAAACACGATTGCTGAGTCAGCAAAACCTACAGCCTTTTCTTGGCCCTTTTCCCATCTCTACCCCATGACCACCCAGGTGTCTGTGGCTCTCTCCAGCTCTCAGTGACAGTAACTTGCTCGCAGGAAAGGTCAGACAGTAATCATTTATACCTGTCTTCATGAGGATGTAAGTCAATGTATTATCTCTCAAAGAAGATTTCTATTTAAGCCTTACTCTGACATGTGAAATGTCAAAGGGGAAAAACTATATTTGGACATTTTGGACACACTAAATCTTTACCTGAGTAAATTTCAGTTTTGGTGTTTTGTTCTTTTGGAGAAAAAAAAGATCCCTGTGTAATTTAAAGAGTGATGGCAGTTGTCTAGACTCTACCTAGACAGATATGTTCATTCATCCACTCATCTCAGCTCAACCATAAGAAACTGCGTTTTTCAAAGAAGGGACACAGAAGCCTGGGAAATCTGAGACGTATAGCAATAAATCAGTATATAAAGAGACTGAAACTAAACAATCAGTGGTGTTTGTACCAGCGTGAGTGCCTAGGGTGAAGATGACAGGCTTGGGGATGGGTGGGGCTGGTGTATATACTAGCACCTGCAGCCTCGGTGCTTTCCGTTGCATCCCAGGATATGCCAGGTCAATTGTGATGACCCTAAGACAAACCAACTCTGGGCAGGGAGGGGGTGTCCTTTCCTCTTCCCAGTGGTCTCAGCTCTAGAGACCACTTCAGTAATATCTCCTTGTCATACCTTAAAACACAAATTAAGACTTCTTATAAATAAGTCCACTCTCTCATTTCCTTAAAATGTTTTGACCTCCTTGCTCTCCAATGTATAACAACAACAACAACAAAAGTGATAAAAACGAACCATCAGAGACTGGTTTCCCCTACCTACACTTTTAGGAGGGAAGGAGTACTAAATCAGCAAAGGCGTGTTAACAGGGAGGAAAAAAATAACTAGAGATCATGAACAATAATCATAATTCAAAAATTAAATAATTAAAACAATGCACTGGGCAAAAGAATGTCTCCATGTTAATTATTTCAGTACTCACAGTGAAAGTGGTGTTATTGATCACTTGTAAGTCCCTTCTAAAAGTAACTATCTTTCATTTACTAAAGATATTGCTGATTCCTTTGGAAACACGTGACCCACAACTTCTTGGCTTCCTTCAATCGCAGAAGAGAGATTTAGTCATCACCCCGAGTCACAGCAAGGGTGACTCACAGAGCGAAGAGGGAACCTGAGGACTCCTCACACATTTAAGTACTTTGAGTTTGACAGGAGCCCAGGCACCTCCACCCTAAGAGGATCTTCGATGTCAGGGTGGCACAACCCTTCTTTCCCCAGCACAGCGGGCAGATCGGGCAGGTCACAAGCAGCCCAGCCAGTCCACACCAGCTTCTGTGTCCCCGTTCATCTTAAATAAGGTAACTGATGATGGAGTTCTGTCATTTATTCCTTCATTTCTCATGTCAGTCCTCAAACTGTTTTGTCTTACAAAATGAATCAAGTTGTCTTTCATGCTGCAGTCAACGGTTGCTATAAAAAAAAAAAAAAAAAAGTGATATGTTAGGAGGCTGTAACGGGCCCTGGGTCCATCTCACCACAGAAATGATCTCAGGGTCTCCCTCGAGACCTTGCCTTGGACTTCCCCAGGTTTCTCTTTGAATGTTCTTTAGCACCCTAGAGTTACAATTACATTTACATCTAGTTCATCTCTCTGTGCTTATTTGACACCATCTGTGAATCTTATAATTAATTGCAAACTGGAGTTGGGAAGAGGCTCCAAAAAGAGTGGGAATCTTAGCTGAGTTTCTGATTGGAACAACAGATTTGCTACCAACTGCAGGTCAGGTCTGTTTGTCTACCTGCTTTACCAATATTTTCAGATGTCAATTTAGGCAAATATGCACACACACGCTAGCTGAGTGAGAAAGATGTTGTCTAGTCCAGAAGGAAGCAGGGAAATTCCTCAACACACATTTGATTCCCGGACACTGGGATGACAATAATAAACCTACTTCGTATATTTACTCTCCATTTTATGATTCAGGTTGGGATTTTACCTGAAACTCCCAACACACAATGAGAAAGGGAGAAAGTCAGTTTAGTGGCTTCAAGGACAGCCCTTGTTAAAGGCTTTATGATGCGAACGGTAGTGTGGTGTCTCTCTCTCTCTCTCTCTCTCTCTCTCTCTCTCTCTCTCTCTCTCAGCGGGTTGATTTTTAGCAGCTGGGGAAAAAGTTTAAAGAAAACACACTTTTAAATTAAAATTCAATTTAGGGTTGTACAAATAGTTCTGAAATGTCCTGCTACACTATTAGCTCCAGGGTAAGGATTATGTTTTATTTAGCTTAGTAAGTGCTCTAAAAAAATCCTTGGCTAGATACTGCATAAAATGCAAATTAAATGTTGTATCATCTTTGTTGTACTTTAGACATTCGAAAAGTGTGCCCAATGTTTAGGACAAAGCTCAATATTTAAATGCAAGGAAAAAATTATTATCTCATACATATCAAATGGAGAAAATGGGAATTGGTTCTAAAACCCTTATAAGGCATGTCACTTTCTCAAGGTACTGTCTTTAAAAACTCTGCTTTTGCTCAAAGATAACTGAGACTAAACGAAATATACTGAAGATCTGAACACGCTTTCTGCATCTCTACATAACATTCTCTCTGTATTCGAAGCTTTCCTTGAAGCTTTGTAACTAAGCTATAATAAAATACAATATACAATGTCTTCCAATTAGCAACTTTTATTCAGCAACATAAATAAGGTAATCATGGCTTTAACAACAATTCTTAACCTGCCAGTACTGTCAGGAAGCATATCGGCAAAATAAACTTAGGAGGGACTGGAAATATTCATTAATTTATTTATTATTATGGATGTTTTTATCAATTATAATTTAAAAGTTTTGAGAGAAAGCAAAAGAAAGAGATGCTTTTTTCCTTAGAACTAAAGAATGCAAAACGTAAATTCGTCAGGTCTTCCCTACAAAAGAGTGGGCTGGCACACCTCTGCCAGGACACTGAATAAGTCTGCAAAGAGGCACACCCCTCTCCACACGTCAATGTCCCACTCCACAGGGCACACTGGGTACCGTGGGCCGCCTCCCTCCTGCAGGAAGCAGGATGCAAGAGGAACATAACTGGTGGAGGAGCTTCGTCATCCCACTGAGTGAGGGAACTTACAAGGATAAATACCACTCAGCCGTATTACCAGGGACATCATAATCATTATCATTTTAATCAGACCCTCAACAGAGCGTTTGTTGCCTTATGTAAGGCTATTTCAGGTAAGGTCCCTCAGCCTCATTTTAAAAAATTTTTTAGATTTCTGGGTGCCCAACTTGAACATTTTTTTCACAGGAACATCATTCATTAGTCATACGAATTAGTTTGTGTCATTAGGCGCAAGTGTCATTTTTCTTAAAGAAAAGTGCCACAGAAATCTCAGAAAGGCCAGTTAGGTTAGTGACAGAATTTCTTGACTCAATGAAAAGGTAAAAATAAAAAGGAATTTGGTGTCAATTAACCAGGTTTACAATATTTAAACGTACAAAGGACATACATGTCCAGTCAGACTGCTGTCAACACTAAGAAAGCTTGTGCAAGAGAACCTCAGAAAGAAAATATTTTAGAAAACAATTGCTAAATGTCGTCTATTGGATGTATTTTGATAAAAACTTAGTTGTTGATTCAACTCAGGCCATGACTGCAACAAATTGGAAAAAAAATAAAGATTCTACAAAATCCCTTAACAATCAGTGTCATTGACTAGTCTCACTCAGTATTGCTTTCTAAAACAAAGTCTTTTGTGAAGTTCTGTGGAAATAAAACCAAGTTGTATGGAAAGAATTCTACATTTGTTATAAAAAGTATACCTTGCAATGACATTGAAACGTTAAGACATTATTTTCCGTTTTGTTTCTTTTAAACTGTGTCATTTATATTTTTATTTTTTATTTTTTTTTTGCTGTACGCGGGTTTCTCACTACTGCGGCCTCTCCCGTCGCGGGGCACAGGCTCCGGACGCGCAGGCTCAGCGGCCATAGCTCACGGGCCCAGCCGCTCCGCGGCACGTGGGATCTTCCCGGACCGGGGCACGAACCCGTGTCCCCTGCATCGGCAGGCGGACTCTCAACCACTGCGCCAGCCACAGGGAAGCCCAGTGTCATTTATTTTTAAAGGGCAGAGGAAGATGACTAAGAGAAGTGAAATCAAAGGATCTTATTTGAGATATTTTACTAGGAAAAGAAACCCAGAGAGAGAAAATTAAAAGAAGCAGAAGTGGGCAAGGTCAGCAATCGAGTTGCAATATTTTCCTATAGCTGCAGCCAAGCAGTTACTCTTCAGCCCTTCACGTGCAGATGAAAGAGAAAATGAGTTCTCCTTTCTTGGTTCCTTTTGAGGCTTTGTGGCATGGTGGAGAATTCTGAGAATGTATTTTCATTTTTCCTATTGACTGATAATGTGTTCATCTCTTTCTATTTCTGCTTTTCTTTTTACACAGTTTAGGAATTGAGATCAAAATTTTAGATCTAGCCACTCTCTGGCAAACGAACTTAGGTATGACATCTCTACCCTACTTGGCTCACAGAAGTATTTTGACAATTTAATGAGATAAATTTTATTTGAACACTTTTCAAAAATGTTTAACGTTATCTAAATTGGAAGTGTGACTATATGGCGCTGATAATGATGCTGATGATGCCCTGATGATTTAGAGGCCTCAAAGATTAATCCAATTATCACTAGAACCCTGGTGTTCAAGTGGAAACTTCCTTCTCTCCCTCTCCTCCTTCTTTCCTTCTACATTTATTTACTTAATACCAACTATCACACAATGCACAGGTGTAGAGAAGTGTACACATAGCCCAGAGTTGCGTGGGAATCCAGGTAGCAGTGGAGCAGAGGATTAAAGCATGGATGCTGGGATTGAGTGGCCTGCATAGCAGTCCCCAGAACAGCACAATTCTATCTTGAGCCAATTAACATGCATTTCTGAATTTGTTTCCTCATCTATAAAATACAGATAATTTTACTGTAAGGTTTGAATGAGAAAGATATTTCTAGATCCTAGCAGAGCACCTAGAATGTGGTAATACTCAATAAATCATAGAGTTATTATCATTTCTACCTGACTTGGTCAACTGGGAATCCCAAGGACCATGGCTTTCTAGGAGCATCCTCTGAATTCTGTAGTCAGCAGGCCACCCATCTGAAAGGTGCCCCAGAGGAGTCCAGAGAGGTCCAAACTCAAAAGGTTCAGCCAGAATTTAGGCCTCATAAAAGCTGTAAGTGCTCATTTGGTAATTTCTAAATTCACAAATTGTATCACACATAAATTTGGCTTTGTTCACTGCCTCCTATCCTCCTGATGACAAAAAGGCAATTATTTTTTTATAAACATAGAAATTGATGCTTACAGCAGCAGGGTATGAATAATATTTATAAATAACAAAACTTTTCTGGTAAGACCATAAAAAAATATGAACTCTTATCAATGTGGCACTACTGAGGAACCAACGACTGAGTTTCCAGAAAAGTAGTTCTGAGGCTGTACAGTTCTGGGCCCCCAAGACAAGGCAGTGCTAGACCAGTGGTTCTCAAATGGGAGTGCTTTTATCCCCAGGGGCCATCTGGCAATGTCTGGAAACACTTTTGGTTTTTTGGTTGTCACAACCGGGGAGGGGGTCTACTGGCATCTAGACGATAGAGGCCAGGGGTGCTGCTAAACACCCTGTAATACACAGGACAAACCCCACAACAAAGAATTATCTGACCCAAAATTACAGAAGTACTGAGGTTGAGAACCCAACCCAAAATATGGGCAATGCATAGAGCAGCCCCCTCACAAAGTGAAAGTGATTGATCCCGCCATACGACAAGGTTCTTCCTGTGTAGCACACCTAGTCACTTTATTTCACCAAGTACTCTTCAAGGTAGAAGTTATTATCTCCATGTTACAGATAGAAAAATGGAGGTGAAGATAACAAAAGTAATTTACCCAAAGGCCTTCTGATGGAGGAGGAACTGAGACTGAAACTTTACCAGCCTGATTCCGAGGCCTGGGCTCCTAAGCCCTGCTCTAATTGTCGTGTGTGTGTGTGTGTGTGTGTGTGTGTGTGTGTGTGTGTGTGTGTGTGTGTGACCTTGGTCCTTGCTTTTCCAAATTTTATCTTGGCTTAAGAAAAATTTCCATGACCAGTTCAGAGGACTTATATTCAGAATTTCACCCATCCTTCTGCACTGCACTGTAGGGGCTGCAGATCTGCTTTCTCTTACTCGGTTCTTGTCCTTGACGAGTCAAGGGGCTCACGGCCTCTGGGTGCTAGAAGGACTATTGCAGACCCAGGTGCTTCTTGCCAAGGGATTTGTACCCCTACCAAGCAGTTTGTGTGAGATAAATTGGAAAACACAACAGAGAAGCAAACAACCCAAGCAACTAAAGTCAGTGTCCTGAGTCACTGAATTGCTGTCACCAGAGAACTATGTGGAGGTGACCACACCTGGCAGACTAAGGTTGAAGCAGACCTATTAGTTGCTGTTACTCATTTACTTCTCGATGGTCAATGAACCAATCAGCCATCAATCAGCTTCTGGGTACAGGTCATGTTCCCAATGACTCTGACCGACCCAGGGTTGTTACTCAGAGGTGGCATCTTGGCTAAAATACTATTAGAGGACAAAGGTATGTGTTGGTTTGTGGCTGACTTGGTCCAATGACCTAGAGGAATGTGAACCTTAGGAACTGAAGAAGACCAGTATTTTGGGATGATAATCTTTGGGGAAAGGACAGGCTTTGCAAAACTCTAGGTCAAGGTTTGCTGTCCTCAGATTCAGGCTGCAGGCTGGGACACCAGCATCTGAAATGACCCTCAGCCCAGAGGGGTAACTAGTGAGGACAACACATTTGAACGTGAGCCCATCCCTAACAACTAAAACCTACTCTCTGTTTGCTTGTTATCAAGGAAAAGTTGGTTTGGCTATAGGGAAGGAGGAGGTTGAGAGGGGTGTAGAGATGAGGAGAGAAGAGGGAATCTGACTGCTTTGGTTTGAGTTTTTGTTTTGCTCCAGTGGTTATGAAGGTGAACTTGCCAAAGAGTAGAAGGTAGAAAACTCAGTGTCCAAGGTCACTAGGTTCTGAAGTCCTGGGTATGAAATAGTTCTTACCTATTCTGTGCATGGAACTCAAAGCAGTCGAACACTTTTCTCAGAAAAAAAAAAAAAAAATTTTTTTCTTTTCCTTTGTCAAATTTTTAACTTTTTTGTTTTGAATTAATTTCAAACTTATGGAAAAGTTGAAAGAATAGTACAACCCAGAATCCCCAGATATTGACATTGTACCACATTCACACTCTTATTCTCTCCGTAGAGAACAAATGTGTTCTTAATATATTTGTTTATATACATATTCTTATTATTTCCTAAACTGTCTGAGAGTAAGTTGAAGACATGGTGCTACTTAATCTTTAAATACTTCTGTGTGTATTTCCTAAAAAGCAGGACATTTTCTACATAATCATAGTAAATTATCAAAATTGAGAAATTGATATTCATGCAGTATTATTTATCAGATCTACAGAGCTTACTCAAATTTCACTTGTGAACCTAAAAATGTTCTTTTTGACAAAAGAAAAAAATGATTTTCTGTGCAAGATCACAAGTTGCATGGGGTTGTCACTTCTATTTAGTCTCCATTAATCAGGAACAGTCTTCAGTCCTTCTTCTTTTCCTTCATTCATGCCTTTGACATTTGTGAAGAGTACAGGCCATACATTGTGTAGAATTGAAAGATGTGCCTTATGCATGATTAGCTTTCAGTTATGCACAGAAGTGCTGCTGTGTCCTTCTCAGTGGCTATACCAGGCGGGACATGATGTTGGTTTGTCCCATAAGTAGTAGTGTTCATTTTTATCACTTGGTTAAAGTGGTATCTGTCAGATTTCTCCACTGTGAAATTACTATTGCTCTCTTTTTAATTAGTACAAATCTTATGCAGAGATTCTTTGAGATTCTATGGTTATCGTTTCTCGTCAGAATTTCACCCACTAGTTTAAAATTGCCTGGAACAATTGCCACTTTGTCAGTTGCCAAATGATGATTTGCTAATTCCATCATTCCTTTTACACTTATTAACTGGCATATTAATTCTCCTATAAAATGAGGCAGGTAATGTGCCCTTTCTAACTGAGAAGGCTGTTAAGAGGATCAAATGAGACCTATATGTAAATACAGTGCAGAATGCTTCATAAATGTGAGCCATTGTTTTACTATTGCTCACCTTACGCCTGCCATCGGCCAAACACAACGACACAGAAAATTTCCACTCTCTGCTCTAGGGCACGTTAAACCCCATAAGTATTTGCGTTTTTCACAAAATTCCCTTGGGAGTTCGGATTGCAGTAAAGGCTACAGAATCCATTCAGGGAATATAGTCAACATTTAGTTATTTGACAATTATTTATCAAGACCAGGACTTGAACAAAACACTATACTAATTGAATGTATAAACATGAAATTTCCTTAAAATGTCTAAATATGAAATTTTGCAAGAGTTGGTTACAACCACCCCACCCCTCAAAATTATATATTTTTAATGTATTTATATATTTGAGAAGGGGAAACCCTGCTACATGGACATGATTTGCAACAAATGAATAACTCCTACAGAGGGAAGATTTGGAGAAACTATACCAAATTTTTATGCCACGATAGTCTAAAAACCTGACTGCTTTAGAAATAGTCGCAGCTATATCACAAGAATCAACTAGTTTGCACAAACCTACCATTTCCCTCTGACTTATGTTTATCAGTTAATAATTCTTTTACTCTTTCTTTCTTTCTTTAGCTATAGATCTTTTGGCAGGAAAAATAGATGAAAGCAGAGCCCAAATTTTCCATGATAAGTGAAGACATATTACACTATTTTTTATCTGAAATAATATGTTCCTTGTAAAGCAACAGAAATAAAATTGTGTGTATGTGTGCACATGAGAGTGTGTGTGTACCATTCTATCTGTATGAATGTTTGTATTCCTTATTAAGGAGAGAAATATTTGCATATATATGCAGGAAATAAATGTCTTATCAACCCAATGACCTGTGTCAACTTTGCCATTACTTTTTCTACTACTTGGTTAGTTTTTGCATTACTTTAGAGGAGTGTTTTAGCACTTAAATGGCCATCTTCCCAACAAAATAAGAGTTATTGTATTTTTAATTATCTATTTATCCACTCAAATGCATTAAGATATCTTAAGTTCATCACTCCTGGGTTGTAATGCCTTAATGGTTCTAATTTGAATTTTCTTTCTAATTTTGAACACTCAGGACGCCATCTTCTTTTACTGTTCAAGAAAGAAGTGTCTCTGTCATACACAGGGGGAAAATGCTCTTTTGGATGTTAGCCTTCCTGATCCTTTGTGGTTTTCTATGGCATTATAAAGGACAGCTAAAGATCACGGACATCACTGATAAGTACATTTTCATCACTGGGTGTGACACTGGCTTTGGAAACTTGGCAGCCAGAACTTTTGATAAAAAAGGATTTCATGTAATTGCTGCCTGTCTGACTGAATCAGGATCAACAGCTTTAAAGGAAGAAACCTCAGAAAGGCTTCATACTGTGCTTCTGGATGTAACTGACCCAGAAAGTGTCAAGAGGACTGCCCAGTGGGTGAAAATCCAAGCAGGGGAGAAAGGTGAGTGATGTGGGGATGGGAAGAATGGAAGGGGTGTTGAGAAGTTACAAAAGCTAAATAAAATGTGTTCTGATTTTAAATAGTTTCTCCAAAAAAATATTTCCTAAATACCAGCTGTGTACTGGAGAAGATTGGAGAAATTTTAGAATAACCCCTGAGTAGTTCTAAGTTGCAAGCTCTCTACGTGCATGAGAGACGCAGCCCACGTTATCCTAAGTCCCAGTGGGTGAATTTAGAACTGAGATAGAGGTATTCACTTTTCCTGGTCTTTTCCTGTGAACTGCTACTCTAGCCCCCTGCACAGCAAAGAACTGGGGGCTAAAAGCCACAGGAGATCATGGGGGCAATCTCCAAATTGTCATCTGGATTAGGACCCACTTTTCACTACAAAATGGTTCCAGAGCTCACACATTTTCACTGGGAAAGGGAGGAAATGGTCTGAGGATCTGAGCAAAGGTGTCTTAGATAGTCGTGGTAGAGTAGTGAGTCACTGGACCTCATTCTGCCTTAGATTCTGCAAAGATGGCAGCATTCTGAACTAGAATACTTTTATTGGCTTGGATCAAGTTTGAAATATTCTCATGAATGAAGATATTTGAGTCCACAAGGGAAAAAACAAATGTATGTGATTTTTCTCTATCACATCTTCATCATAGAGTTGAGACTCTGAAACTTTCAAAAACAATGGTTTGATGAGGCTCCAGTTATTCTTTAATGCTTGAATTCCAAACACCTTTAACAATAATAAATGCTCCCCACCATAAAATAAGCCAAGTGAATGACTGGATTTTTACCAAAAATAACTGTGAAATAGATCAGTGTTGTTCTTTGTCTATAAAGAACTCTTTGTAAATATTCTCTGGCTTTGCCATCTAGCACGGTAGGAAAAATCGACCAATTTACTCACATCTGAGATTAAAAAGCAGAAAGTCTCACTCAGACAGTATCAGTATTTGACATTCAGAAGCAGAAACAGAAGAATTGTGAGATTGGCTTCCAGTCACAGGACTTCAGCCATTTCAGTTTAGCCTCCCACCCTCTCTGCTCTCACTTCCCAAGACAGCAAAGTATTTCAAAGCAGGAAGGAGTATGACTAGGAGCAGGAAATGGCACCATCAGGTAAAGCAAGGGGCTGTATTTCCATCAAGGATGCCCATATAATGCCACCTTCTACCACACCTCCTTCCCTTCCTCTCTGTTCTAGGTCTCTGGGGTCTGATTAACAATGCTGGTGTTCTCGGCGTGCTGGCGCCCACCGACTGGCTGACAGTGGAGGACTACAGAGAACCTATTGAAGTGAACCTGTTTGGACTCATCAGTGTCACGTTAAATATGCTTCCCTTGGTCAAGAAAGCTCGAGGGAGGATTATCAACGTCTCTAGCATTGGGGGTCGGCTTGCATTCAGCGGAGGGGGCTACGCTCCATCCAAATATGCAGTAGAAGCCTTCAATGACAGCTTAAGGTAAAGCAAAGATGGGCATATTAGAAAATAATAGGTGCTAACATTCACTGAACATTTATTTATGTACCAGACACTATATTTGGTGCTTTATGCTATTCCCAATTTATAGACGATACCACTGTAACTAAGAGAGATGAAGTAACTTGCCCAAGGTCACCCAGCTGTCAAGTGGTAGAATTGAGATTTGAACATAATTCTGTCGAAGTCTTTTTTCCTTTTTGCATTGGTGCATGATGTGGATAGTGGTGGCAAATTTATATTCAACAGATCAGCTTATTTAACAGGGAATCACAGAGAGAAGCTAAATCAGGTCTCTCTGTTGGTGTTACTGTCAGCTGCAGACACAACAGTAGCATTTTATTTAAACCCTCGGTAGAAAATTATCTGGTAAATAATGACTCAGCTATGCAGCATTTTATTTACTCTTGTTGCAAATTCTGGACTCAAACCTCACACACTATATCTGAATGTATGGTAACCTCCCCACCCCCACCCCAAGGACAAGAAAGACAGCTTTCCTCTGATGCTTCCATTTCCAAACAAAACTCAGAGTAGGAGCTTGCTAATCAGAGGTGAAGATTCTGCTACCATCAGAAAGCACTGACCACATCTTTTTGCTGTGTGCTATCAGAGAATCCCAGAGCGTAAAACCGTAAGATGACCAATTTAATAAACAAAGTCCCCCAATTCAGTGTGTGCAGACATGAATTACTTTGGGTTTATGATGTTTGAGGTTCACTGGGGTTCTTGAATCTCTAGGTTTATACCTTTTGACAGATTTGGGGAGTTTTCAGCCATCGTTTCTCCAAACTTTTTTTTTTTCTACAATCCACTATTCCTCCTCCTAGGATTCTAACACAAATGTTAGCCCTTTTGGTTTTGTCCCACAGATCCCTATGTTTCTGTTCACTTTTTCAATTATTTTTCTCTTTGTTGTTCAGATTAGGTAATTTCTAATGATCTGTCTTCAAATTCACTGCTTTTCCTTCATATTCTCCATTTTACTAATGAGTCCAGCCAGTAAATATTTTATTTTGATTATTGTATTTTTCAAGTGTAAAATTTTCATTTGGTTCTTCTTTATCTTTTCTTTCTTCTCTGAAAGCTTTCTCTCTCTCTCTCTCTCTCTCTCTCTCTCTTCCTTTCTTCAGAAAGAAAGAGAAAGAAAGAGAGAAAGAAAGAAAGAAAGAAAGAAAGAAAGAAAGAAAGAAAGAGGGAGGAGGGAAGGCGGGAAGAGAGGAATGAAAGCGAGAGGAAGAAAGAGCGAGGGAGGGAGGGAGGAAGGAGGGAAGAGGATTCCCCGCTCTCTCTGAGCATTAGGATCCCCCACACCAACTCCTCAAGCCAGAACAATGGGCTTCACCTGGAGTTCTCTCTGTTTATGAGTTGGGTCTCTCCTGGAATTCCTCCCTTCTACTTCTGAGTTTTGAGGTTGATTTGAGTCCAGACCACGGATCTAGAGCAGCAGAAATACCACGTCGGGTTCAGTGGTATTTCAAAATCTACTATTCTTCCCTACTTTGCCTACTGACATTTGCTTTTTAGAGTTTTTAAATAGCTGCCCCATGCATTCTGTCCAGGTATTGTAGCTGCTTTCAATGGGAGAGACAGGAGTGTGCATGCTTAATGCATCTTACCTGAAACCAGAACCTATGGCTGTCAGTTCAAAACCTCTAAACTGCAAATGGTTTTATCAGTTAAGGTTCTCATGGGAAATGGAGGCACATTAAAATTGGGTCAATGGAACAGATGTACTGAAAGGACTGTTTGCAGACGTGGGAGCTGTGTAGGGAAATCTCAAAAGGTAGTGTAGTTTCTAGGAGTTAATGCCACCAGGGGTATATCTGTCCACAGGAATGAAGGGACAAGGAGACAGGGCCGTCTCCAGAACCTGGATTCATAGACGCTATCACCTTCAGGTGAAGGATGAAAGCAACCAGTGTCCACACCGCAGGAGGAATAGCTAGCTCAACCTCTTCTCATCGCTCCTTCTCATCTCCCATCAGTACTCCCAACTAACTGTACCCAACAGAATCCCAGAATGTAGTGCAGGAAGAAGGCTGGAGGGGACTAGAAGAGCAAATGCAGGGTATCGAGCAGAGTGTGCCTTAGGGACAAATTAGATAGAGCCTTTTCTTCGATTTATACATTTATTTATTCAACCAGCATGTGTTGAAAGCACATGTTAGAGTTTGTAATCTAAACCATGGATCTAGGCTTAGCTTACCAGTAAAAGGTCAGATCATTCTATGGAGACTAATAAAGACAGAGCAACTCCATTTTGCCATTTAATCTCGTTGCCTGGTTGGATTCTCCCAGGAAATAAACACAATAGCATTAGAACAACACTTCTCAAACAGTAAATCGCCAGAGGATTTTGTCAAAATGCAGATTCTGATTCAGTGGGTCTCAGGTGCGTCCTGAGTTTCTGCATTTCTAAGAAGTCCCCAAGTACTGCCCGTGATTCAGGGATTGCACTTTGATTAGCGAGGTCATGGGGAACCTCCATTCGTCTCTTTGGTTGCCCTTTAGTTCCGTGATTTCAGCAACAGTATCCTAATAAAATTTTAGTCTACTTAGGGATTTACTCACTTTAAAAAAGAGATTTCAACTGATGGGCTTGTAGGATTACAATGCAACTATACCATGCTTGAAATTAACCAATAAGGGTGTTTATTTCTTTCTAATGCTTGGAGCTGATGTTAGAAATGCTACTGTGTATTCAGGCCACACTCCAGTGATAGCTACAGAATTTCTATATTATAAGAGGATTAAGGGAAGCCGTCCAACTGGGAGAAGGCTGGGGCTCTTTAAAGCTATATTTGCCCAGCAAGCATACTGGTTTCATACTGGTTTTACTTACCGGTAAGCTTAGTTGTGGACTTAAAGTCATTTGTCCCTAGATTATATGTTATTTTCGTGAGCACGTGGAGAGACAAGGCTTCCCAAATACCCCCTTGGCACTGCTACGTTCCAAAATCCAAAGGGGATCAGAAGATAGGTGAGAAAAATACAATTAAGTTGGAAAATAATCTTTTTAATTTTAATGCAAGCAATATACATTTCAAAATCTTTCAAGGTCAAGCTAATTTGCATTTTTAGTAAAATATACTTCAAACTAGACAATAGGTATGTTTCTAGAAAGCAGAACCTAAGATAAACCACATTTTAAGTTCACTGGTAGAGTTCTTTGAAAAATGTTATGGTGAAGACTTCTGTAAAATGAATAAATACTTCCTTATATATTCCTGGTGGAAATAGAAATTAAATTTAGGGAACGATTATTCATAAACCATTTGTAATACTTTGGTTTGCTTTAAAGAAAGGGGCACCATATTCCCTTAAAACCATGTCTTCCAGTAAACCAGTAGACTATTGGTTTTCCAAGGTGACTTGATGAAAGAGCTGGCCAAGCAGCATAGGGAGCAGGTTAGTCAGGCCAGGGATTGTCATATTGTATCCCTCAGCACCCCTCATTTGTGCTGTAATCTCCTCACATTCCTGGAGGACAGGTAAACGTGACCATCCAGGCCAGCCATTAGTCGATTTCACCATCAGGTAGTTTGAGTACTGAGAAGAACCTTGTCCCTAACCCAAATGCTTGTCAACTTAACGAGACACTATCTTTTGGGGGAACACTGCACTGGGGATGGGTCTACCCAGATCCCTTCCCTGTTCTGCCACTAAACCAGCCCTCACTTCACCACCCTGAACTTCAGTTTCCTCATCTGCAAACTGAGAGGGTAGAACAAGATGCTTTTTCCCATGCACCCCATTCCATGATTCCATGAAAAGATTCATAAGCAAACATTCTCCAAGTAAGCCTGGATTAAACATCTATGGGCTCTTTTCACAGGCGGGACATGAAAGCTTTTGATGTGCACGTCGCATGCATTGAACCAGGATTGTTCAAAACAGATCTGTCAGATCCAGTAAAGACCACCGAAAGAAAACTCACCATTTGGAAGCATCTGTCTCCAGACATCAAACAACAATACGGAGAAGGCTACATCGAAAAAAGTGAGTTTCTGGGTGGACCCAGGGTCCTCTGGTATTCATTGTCCTAGACAGCTTGAAGGAGACTCAAACATAATTGAAAAAATAAGGTTCTCATGGTAATACACCAATAGAGATCTCAAATATGGATCAGGGATCCTTATTAATTCAAGTGTCATCTCTTGCTCCTCCAAGTGTTTATAAATACTTACTGAGCATTTACTAAGTGCCAAGTTCTATACTAAGTGCCTTATAAATTATATCATTTATTCCTCAAAAGAACTATAGTAGTGAGCAGAGGCTTGGAAAGGGGAAATGTCCTACCCAAGCTTATACAACTCCCCCAGGCCACGCCTGGACTGGAGCCCACGGTTATCACCTCTACCCAAACCTCCTCTTTTTGGTAATCACCGACCACTCATTCAACATTGTTCAAGGATTTATGGAGGTTACAAAATATAAAGACTCAGACTTTGACCCTTAACCAGCTTACAATCTAGTTGACAACAAAATGTAAGCAGATGAGACTTTACGACATGCAAGAAACTTGATCCTTTACTTCTGAGACACAACCCAACATCCCAGAAGGGGTGCTAGATAGTATGCTCTCTAATTACCAAGAAATTCAGCACAGGATAAAAAGTACTGCTGGTTAAGAAGCCTTTATAGGAAAGGTCAGGTTTGAATAAGGCCTAAACAGGAAGAAATTATTTGGGTGGAAGTCTTCTGGAGCAGGAAT